GAGGGAGGGGAGGGGGGAGGTCATGGGGGTAGGAAATATGGTGGAATGAGATGGGCATCATTACCCTGGGCACATGTATGATTGCACTAATGGTGTGACTCTACATTGTGTACAACCAGAGAAACAAAAAGTTGTGCTCCATTTGTGTATAATAAATCAAAATGCATTCTGCTATCATGTATAAAAATAATTAGAACAAATAAAAATAATAAATATTTTTTTTAAAAAAAGAAGAGGAAACAGAGACACAGACACTCAGGGAGAAAACCAGGTGACAACAGAGGCATAGATTGGGGTGGAGAATCTATAAGCCAAGGATTTCTGGCAACATCARAAGCTAGGAAAAGAATTGAACAGGTTCTCTAGAGCCTTCTGAGAGAGGACAGTTCTGTTGTCCCCCTCCTTTCAAGGTGAGAGAATAAATTCCTGTTGTTTCCAGCTACATGGAATCTATCCTTCTAGAAGATTCTGAGTACTGTAATATTGTGCTGCCAAATTATTGTCATATTTCCATTTCTCAGGCCAAGCCCACCCATTGCCTATCACATCACCTGTTCTAGAGTCAGAGCTCAGCTTCCCACCACCACTTCCGTGAACTTACAGGAGTCCTAGAAGTCTTCCTTCTGGTTTCACTAGGCTTCCCTGGAATCATTAGCGTAGTGCCTCCATGCATTCACTCCTGGAGACTGTTATGCATTCACCTCTGTGCTACATACTAGGGACAGGGATCGAGGCACTGCCAGGTATGTCCTCAGGGTAAGATTCAGAGAAAACACACACACACACACACACACACACACACACACACACACACATCCACTTTCTTTCTGGTATCATTTCTCTTCTCTCTGAAATCTCTAAGCACTTTTTCTACATGGGCAATCTGTCCCTCTTCTGCCCACAAGCATAAGGGTAGACACAAAAACTTGGACAACCAGTGAAAGAAGTCCTAGGAACATCCAATGAAGATTAAAAAGAAACATTAATCCATAAAGAAAAGAAAATTAAAAAGTACAAATGGGAAAGATTCTGATTTAGAGTACATAGAGTATTTAAAGTAAATATATTTCTAAAGCAAGAAATCTATTTTGCATCATAACCAAGAAYACAGACAAGAATATTCATAGAACAGTAGTTGCCTTTATGATGCACAAGGTATTCTGATATTTTCTACCCTAATTTTATATTCTGTTCTATTCCCCCTTTTTTTATTTAAAAAAAATAAGCAACCAATTGAACTGATTTCATGACTCAATAATGGGTAAAGTCCTGCAGCTTAGAAAATACAACATTATTGGTATCTGAATTATTAATCCAAACTGATCTATACTTTCTCCATAGTTTGAYCAATATAAACTGCAATGAACCCTGCCACTAATTAAGTACCCAATACCAATTTGTGGAAATAGCTGGCTGTCCTCTCAAATTCATTTTACCCTTTCCCTTAGCCATATGGTAGCACAGTTATAGACCATAGTCCCCAAATTCTTGTGCACAGAGGTGGAACCATGTAACTAAGTTTCATCAATAAAATGTGAGGGGAAATGAGAAAGTGATTCTGCAGTACTTACTTTAAAGAAAATCCCGTTGTCTTGGACTTCTGTCCTTTCCCTTTCCTATATAGAACCCGGAGTAACAACAGCCTAATTTTAACTCTGCACAGAATAATAACCTAGAGCAGATGTAAGCAAACTGCTGTCTGTGGAACAAATGTGGTCCACCTCTTGTTTTTCTAAATAAAGTTTTATTGGAAACAATTGTGCACATTTTTTTTACCTATTGTCTAGGGCTGTTCTGTGCTACAACAGTGAAGATGAGTAGTTCCAACCAAGACCATAGTCCTTCAAAGCCGAAAGTATTTACTATCAGGTCCTGTCTAGTAAGTTTTCTGGTCCCAGACTTAGAGGAGAGGGTACAGAGCCATCCTGTGGTCCTGGAGCACAGCCTTCCACTTTTCCTGGACTGGTCTGTGATCAAGAAAGAAATTACTGTCTTGCTTGAGCCTCATCATTTTGAAATCTCTTTGATCCAGCAGTTTGCCCTTTGCTTTATCTAATACCTTCTCCCAGGTGTATATGCCTCCAAGTCACAGAGTCTTCCTGGAGGGCAGCCATCACTGTTCTCTCAAGGTCATAGCATAGTACTTAGACCATGTATTAAACCCATGTACTTCTGGGTCTGCCTCCACTTAGATTATTATGATCTTCCAAACAGGATCTCTGCTCATTCACTTCTATATCCCAACACTTAGCAAAATCCCTGTCATCATGTAGTTGCTCAAGGATTTAGACCACTGAGAGTGAGAAATGAAAATGTCCCATTGAGGCCTCAAAGATTTCAAATTACTGCCCCATATTTCTGAGGCCTTCTTCAAACTGATGTTCTCCTTTGTTCTGTTTCTGAGAAATTTAGCCCGCTTAAGAATGGTTACCAACTTATTGAGGCTATTCCAGATTTTGGTTAAGTTCAGACTTTCTTGGAATAGGTCCTACACTGGTACTGGGACTTGGTCTTTTGGGCTAATTCCACTGTATAACCTGGCTTCTCCTTTTGGTCATTCAGAACTAATTTTCTCATCTCATTCAAAAATCTGGGGTTCTTTCTAATTGCCTAGCAAATTCCTGAAGAAAATATTCAGGTCTCAACTTGTCTATGGAGTGGACCCTACTGTGAACCTCTCATATATCCATGAAAATAATACAACACTGAGACAGCTAGCCTGGTGCTTCCTTTGATGCCTTCCCATTTCAGTAGTTCATAGGGGAGTGACTTACCTCGACCACATAGACTAAGGGCCATTGATAATTTTGTAACAAAAGGATCAGATTCTTCAACAACAACAACAATAAAAATAGTCTTAAATATTAGACCTTAATTATTAGACTTAAAAAAATGTTTTTGTTGGGATTCGGGTATAGTTCAGTGGTAAAGCACATATTTAGGGGCAATTTCCTTGATTCCAGCTCCAGATAATTTGAGAAACCCAAAATTTTCATCTATATTTCTAAGAAAAATAAATTAAACGTTTTGACTTACAGCATTAGAGACGGACTGGTATCGATCATAGCTGATGAGAACAATGTTATACACAGATGCTGTACACAAAAGATGGTCAATGATGAGCCAAAATACACAGAGTTCATTTCCAAAATTCCAACCAACCAGTGTGTGAGGGATGTACAGAGGAATGGAGATCACACCTGTTCAGGGGGAAAACAAGAAGTAGMAAATAGCACACATGGATGAATACAAAAAGGTAGATTGAAATGGGTACACAACACAATGATATATCTGAATTCACTAAATATTGTTTGGTTATTGCTATAACTTGGATGAGAATCCCCCAAAGGGCATATATAGAAGATTAGTCATAAAAGCAGCAATATTTGGAGGTTTGTGAACTTCTAAGAGTTGGGGCCTTTTGGGAGGTCCTTAGGTCATTGAAAACATGTTCTTGAAGGAGACTGGGGGACCCCAGACTCTAAATCTCTCTCTGTTTCCTGCCTCTAGATGTGAGCAATAACTCTGACATGTGTTCCTACAATTATGATCTGCCATCTTCATCAGAAGTCGAATCAATGGGCCAAAACCAATCTCGGATTTGAACTCCAAACTGTGAGCTAAATAAACATTTTCTTTTTATAAGCTAATGGTCTCAGATACTTTGTTGTAGTAATGCAAAGCTGACCAACACAGTTATATATAGAAATTCACAGTATTTCACTAAACAGCTCAGGACTGACTTTCTATGCACTCTAAATGTGATTTTTTTATAATAGATGTCATGAACAATGTACCTCCAAAGGCTCCTTATTACTTTCCAATTTAAATACAGATCCTGACCTCTATTTCTAGTCATATACAGTAAAAAACCATCTTTATGTTCTTCATGATCCAACCCAAAGAGAGTGGGCTTCACCAAACATAACCCACATTTTCACATCTCTTTCTCTTTGTTCATTCACATCATTCTTTCTTCTTAGAATGTCGTCCTCTTTTATTTATTTATTTATTTATTTAAGTGCTGGGGATTCAAACCTAGACTCTTGCACACATTCTTGTCCTCTTTTTTTTCTACTGAAAAAAAAATGTGCTTACTTCTTTATCGTTTTTCCCTAAAGTCAAAAAATGACTTCCTCCTTGTCACCTCTCTTGGAACTTCTTTGGCAGAAGTGATCCCTCTGTCACCTGCACTCTCCTGGCACTTTGCCACTTTGTCTCTTCTTCTCTAATTTCATTCCGTTTTACATYACAGTCATCTTTTAATTTGTCTCTCTTCAGGCTGAAGAGCATATCATAAATCAATGCTTACATTTTCTATGATGCCTAGATTGATTTACACGGTCGTTTGCACATTTAACTTAAACTAATAAGCTAATATGTATTGTACAAATGACCATATGTCAGACACTGTGCTCTGTGCAYCATAAATATCATATCACTTAATCTTCATAGAAACTTGGTGAGGTAGGAACTGTGCTGAATTAATAGTTAAGAACCAACTACACAGAAAGAAGAGAGGAACAATTAAACAAGACACACTTATCTGGTAAGTGGAGAAGAAGCTGAATCTGAAACCAGAAACTGTGATTTCAAAACCCCTGATTCCAACCACAACCCTTCACTGAACGAACAAATAAGTAAACTCTACCATGGCAATTCACCCCAGCACAGAAACTGCTTACCTGTGAAAGTAACTAAGTTGGGTTCCCCTTCTTTTAGTTTTTAGGGTTTTTTAAAAAACTGTGTTGACATTTCAGACAGGTGTCTTTACTTGCTGAGAATATGACACATTAAGTGGGAACTCAGTTGAAATCTGATTTTGGTGATTATCTTCATATTTTATTAGGCACTTACAGAAATTCTTATTTTAGGTGCATGAGAACCAAACTAGCCTATCATTGTTGGTGGGACTGCAAATTAGTACAACTACTCTGGAAAGCAGTGCGGAGACTCCTCAAAAAAAACTAGGAATGGAATCACCATATGACCCACCTGTTCCACTCCTCGGTGTTTATCCAAAAGACCTAAAATCAGCATACAATAGCAATAACATCCACTTCAATGTTTATAGGAGCCCAATTSACACTAGCCAAGTTCTGGAACCAATCCAGATGATTGTTAATAGGTAGGTGGATTAAGAAAATGTGGTGTATGTACACATGGATTTCTATTCAGCCATAAAGAAGAATGAAATGATGGGATTTGCCAGTAAATAGATGGTGACATGGAGAAAATGCTAAGTGAAATAAGCCAGACTAAGAAAATCAAAGAATGAATGTTTTCTCTCATTTATGGAAGCTAGAGCAAAATAAGGGAAAGAAGATGGTTGGAGAGGGGATCAGATGTCATAAAGATAGGAGGTAGATCAGTGGAGCAGAAGGAGAGGGAGRAAGGAAGGGAAAGGGGAGGATTAAACTGAATGAATTTGACAAAATCAGGCTAGATTCATATATAAGGCTTCTGAAGGGAATTTCACTTTTACACGTATGTAGAAGAAAGGAAGTTTAAAACAGTAAAGGAAGGAGAAGGGAAGAGGGGGCTTGAAATCAAATTCCTTGCAAGTTTGATTTTGTCAAAGTGAATTACTATGCATAATTATGACACACTAATAAAAATAYATTTTAAAAACAGAATAAATCATAAATAAGTAGAGAGAAAAGAAAAGAAACAGGGAAGAAGAATTCTTCCAAAACCAGACAACATGAGACTACAATGGCAAGATTTYAGAACCAGTGGAAGGGAACCCAGAATGTAGGATTCTTATCTGGATTTACATACAGAGTCATCAGATGGACACCATAGAGAAGAAGAGCTGCATGGTCAGTTTTTATATGTATGTAGTCCAAGTAAACTTGCTTTATGTTTCAATTTTATTTTATGTATTTATCTATCCATCTATTTATTTATTTATTTTTGGTACTAGGGATTGAACTCAGGGTGGTTTAACCACTGAGYCACATCCCCAKCCCTTTTTGTATTTTATTGAGAGACRGGGTCTCATTGAGTTGCTCKCTAAATTGCTGAGGCTGGCTTTGAACTSAAGATCCTCCTGCCTCAACCTCTGGAGCTTACTGGGATTACAGTTGTGCCACTAYCGCACCCAGCTTCAMTTTTATTTTGAGGCAAAAATTCTCACATCAACCCTTATGGGGTGTGTGTCTGTGCACACCTATGCACACAATTGTAAAACAAAGAAGATCACTAGGTTTACCYGAGATAAATCAAAGTATCTCAAAAACAGACACTTTATGATATTTTGGCCCACGCCAGTGGATTCCAGTGTTTGCAACATGAATATTTTCACAGCTGCACTCATTTCTCCTACAGAGTGAGATGCCAGTARCCATTTGCATTATAGACATCACTAACTTAAAGGTTAAAGGGAGCCAGACCCGTAGTGCACATCTGTAATCCCAGYGGCTCGGGAGCTGAGGCAGGAGGATCTAGAGTTCAAAGCTGACCTCAAAACAGAAATGACAAGGCACTAAGCAACTCAGTGAGACCCTGTCTCTAAATAAAATACAAAATAGGGCTGGGGATGTGTCTCAGTGGTCAAGTGCCCCTGAGTTCAATCCCTAGTACAACATCCCCCCCAAAAAAATAAAAGGTTAAAGGGAGGGATCTGACTTAAATACTCTTTTTCACATGCATTTTGGATTATATGAAAGAGGAAGGGTGTGTTCAAAACCATAGAAGCAACTTGAAATTGCAGTTAGCTTAAAACAGACTCCAATCTACTTAGTTTTAGTAAAACCCTGCTGTCCACCTTATGTTCTTGTTCTGCATTTTAATACAAATGTCATGTTCTCAGTTCCTCTGTCTAAAAGTCATAGAGATATTCTGAAGGAGTTTCTGAAAAGTGAATATGAAATATCCCTCAGATTTAAGTGTTTCTACAACTTTTGCTCTGAAACTGTGCTTGTGGGTCAAGCGAACTCACTGAGGAAAGCCAAGAGCCAATTCCTTGAGCACAACAATAAGCCTTTGACACATTTGATTTAGGAAAAACTGCAGTGAGAAATAGCAAATAAACTATATTAAAAGARTGTGGGAAAGGAGTGGGGCTGGGGCTCAGTGGTAGAGCCCTTGCCTTGCMCTGGGTTGGATCCTCAGCACCACGTAAAAATAAATAAATAAAGATATTGAAAAATATGTATTATTTTTTAAAAATGAATGTGGCATAGGGAGGAAGAAAGGTGAATAAACAGGGACAAGAGAAGGAAGGAAGGACAATGAGAAGAAAAGCTTGTGAGACTCTGAGGACTCAAGTCATTCTGGGTGACTTGCTTCAGCCCAGCCGCCCACCTCCCCTACTCCTGCGCCCCTGGCTCATCCTGCCCCAGCTCCTCTGGCCTCCCATACACTGCACACCCTCCCACCTCCCTCCTCCTCACTTGCTGTTCCTTGGCAAGAAATGCTCTTCCTCCAGAGAGCTGCTGATTTCTCCTGTGCCTTTCTCAGCGAGCCCACCCCCAATGCTTAAAATGGTAACCCCCCACCCAGAACCCTGCCTCCCCCTCAGCCTGCTATATTTTTCTCAACAGCAATTATCACCCTCTAAAATGCTACTTTGTTTTATCTACTTATTTAGGTAGCTTATTATTCAGCTCCACTTCCCTGCACCTAGCAGAAACAGGACACCAGGGAGCAGGACTTTTGTCTGGATCTTCACGGCCATGTCCCTGGCAACTCTAGAGAGCACCCGCTTGAGAATAARTCATTGTCGGGTGAATGAGTGGATGAGGGTGGGATGCCCAGTTTGCTTCAAAATTGCCTCAGTCTGGGCTTGCGCCTTCTYTCCAAGTCAGCTAAGCTGCTATACCTTTTATGGGAAAATGTCAAACAAAAACTGAAGGGAGCCAATAGCCTCAGTCAGTCCTTTGAGCCAACACAGGGACAAGTGGATGACGGTAAATGCACAGAGGTGTTAAGGACTAAGTGTTCATCTACCCTCCCCAATTCATAGACTGAAGYCCTGACCCTCAGTGTGACTGTATTGGAAGATGGGACCTAAGGAAGAAATTAGGGGTAAATGAGGTCACAAGGGGGTAGCCCTGATTCAATAGGAATGATGTCCTTTAGGGAAGAGACAACAGAGAACACTCAGAGAATGCCCATGTAGCCAGGCACAGTGGCATRTGCTTGTTATCCCAGCATCTCAGGAGCCTGAGGCAGGAGGATCGTGGGTTCAAAGCCAGCCTCAGCAACTTAATGAGGCCCTAAGTCATTCAGCAAGACCCTGTCTCAAAATAGAATMTAAAAAATGGCTGGGGGTGACGCTCAGTGGTTAAGGCCCTTGGGTTCAATCCCTGGTACAAAGAAAGAAAGGCCGCATGAAGACACAGTGAGAGGGGACCTGTCTGTAAGCCAGGAAAAATGTTCTCACCAGGAGCTTGATTGTCCAGATCCTGGATTCCCAACTTTCAGAACCATGAAAACACATCCCTGTTGTCAAAGCCACGCAGACTCTACAGTCTGTTATATCAGCCCAAGTAGACAGAGGGATGGAGGGGTAGAGAAGGTRCTGAATGGGCACATGAAGGTATTAAAGATAAACTTTAATTTATCCTGGAATTATGTCTTGGATTGGCAACACTTTTCACCCCTGAAAATCCCATCCAGGCCACATATGACATGGCTGCATAGGCTATAAATGCCCACAGTACATGTAGACACCCACAGATGGAAACATTAGCCACGTGATAGCAATTTTATATATATATATTTTTTCCATCTACATTTATTAATAGTGTATAGATGAGATGCTGTTCAGTCAAACTATATTGATATATCTCATTTTTATATCATCCGGTATAGCTGGTAAAGGAATTTTTCCCTCAATAAGTCTTTGCTTTCCAACAGTAAATTCAGCCTGGGGAAGCTAGCTAAGCAGCTGCCACAAATTTAGATTTCAACAGGAGGCAAGTTCTAAAGCCTGTGAGGAAGGGTGTTTGGCCATGTGTGTATGAGGATCTAATCTGCCATCATCACAGGGTTCCGGTGATCTGGGTTTCCTGACCCCAAATATAAAGAATGGCTGCCTTACAGCTTCAGAAAACCTCTCAGRGTCCTGACATGCCCTACCACCACCTCCCAGAGTTCCTCCAAGCTCAGAATCAAAAGGCACACTTCAGAGCATGGCAAAGGAGAATATTCAAATCTTGTTACCAAAAGCTCAGGGACTGTCCCAATTCTTATGTCATGGCAAGTGCCATGTTAAATGAGTAACTCTGGATAAAGCTGGTAGGGACAGGGGAACCGTGAAGGATGAGACTTGAAGATGACCAGAGATTCTGTTTGRCCTACATGCAGCTCCTTTTAGCAGGAGTCGACCCTACACCCATCCTCCTGCTGATGGAGGGAGACCACCAGGAACACTAAATAACTACAGGTACCATTTCTTAAAGACGAGGCATATCTTTGTGGTGTGGTACTCCAGCCCTGGATGGTGGGGAGGAGCTGCCTTGATGTTGACCTTGAGCCAGACATGGAGACACTCATTCCCACATTCTTATCTGAAACCATCTTTGTTCAAAAGCTTCAGGCTCTGGGTTCTCAGTCCTTTCACCTGGTCCCTCCCTGCTTCCAGGGCAGTCAGGGCCTCACTCCCATTGGGTTAGACAAAATACATCATCTAGTTTATATGCTGATCATCACTAAAAGCCACACAATTCTGTGGAGGAGGAGAAGAGAGATAAGTATATTTATAGCAGAACATTCTGTACGTTCACATAAATAGACTTGTATATTTGTACATGTTTATGTGAGCATAGAGAATAATGTGAAACCTACATCAAGCTGCAAATGTTGGCTAGCTGGAAAAATTGAATGGAGGAGGGAAGCAGGAAGACTGATGCTTTTTTTTTTAATATTTCTACATTGGTTATTTGTGACCCTGTCAATTTATGCCATGGCTCCTCCTCAATCAATTTCCCTGAACAACAGTTTCCTCCAGAACTTTGAAGGCAACATCAGAATCACAGCTGCTCTTCCCAAATGCCCTTCACTTTCCCTGTGTGCCAGCCCTTTCTTAGTACCAGAAGCCCAGTYGTTGACTCATCTTTATCTTGACCAACCCCACCCTGTGCAGATCTGCCTCCTGCTCTTCCTTTCTACCCTCATCCTGGCTCAGAGCCTTGCCACATGACCTCTGCCTGGATTGCTGCACCATCAGCCTGAAACATGCTCTGCATCCTCCAACCTCTCCTACCTCCAATAGCTCATCTGACGCCTCCGAGAGAGAGTTCAATCCATTCACTTGCTCACCTGCTTTTAAATTCTTAAATCTCCACTTTGCCATTTAATAATCCAGACCGACACTACTGCTTACTACTATTCCCATCCAGCTGACAATACTATTTAAAGCTCTTGGCCATATAGATTTCGACTTCCTCCCTTGCTGTTCCCATTTCAATTGTCTACAGACCAAACCCCAAGCTCACCCAGGGAGATATGCATGGTGACTTCATAGCAGTGTGTTGATTGCTGGTAATGCTTGGGATTCTTCTCTCCTCCCCATATCTGCCTATGGAAATTCTATTCATCTTTCAACAGTTAATTTTGAATGCCACTCTCCACTRAACGTGCTTTATCCCTCCTCTGAGTGACCTCTGGTGGGTCTTCGTGGGGTCCTACATTACTCTATATCTCTATAGTCATTTGTGAATTTCTCTGTTCCACTCCACTATATTGAAACCTCCCTGAAGGAGAATAACCTACTCTTCTATAAATCCCTTGATTATCTAATAATACCTGCACATATAACAGTATTGACACACACTGTGTACTATACTAATATTTGTGAATTTGGTTTGGGTGGACATATATCTGTAGAGAAATCAAAAGAGAAGGGGACTAATATTTGTTGAGCAGCCACTGTGTTCCAGGCAATGAATTAAGTATTCTTTGAGTTTTGTTTCATTTTAACATAAATGTAAGTTTCATGAAGCTATAAATGAAAAAATCTGAATATGCCAGAATAAATTATACTAGAAGCTCCTTTAAAATAATACCAGTTAGTTGACAGATCTGTGCTTTTATTTATTATAATATGCATTATTAAAAAATGATAACCAGCAGAAAGTAAAACTTAAAAGAACATGTTTTCAAAGAAACGTTAATTTGATCTCTATGGTCTCATCCAATTACATATTGGATGTAATTTATATGCAAGGTAGTTGAGTATTGAGTATATTTTATAATATCTGTTATGCCATAAAATAATACTGTTAAACATACTATTTAATTGACCTGAATATCCCATTTTCTGATTGTGCTAATTACCAGCATATGAGTTATTCCTATTACCCCAACACTATGATAGTGAGGAATCTATATTGTACTTARAGAAAAACACCTATAAATCTAAACATACAAGGATAATAGTTCTAGAAACAAGTAACTCTTACACTAAAATAATTTTATATCTATTTGGGACTTACTTTTATTCTATACAAAGAAAAAAATCTTTTTAGATGAAAATTCCATTATCACACTGATTTACATTATGTATAACATTCCCTTAAAGTGCCATGTAGACCCCTTCCCAGATTTTAATATTTTAACTTTTTGGTTTTAATCCCCCCATCTCATAAATTCCCTTGAAATATTAACCACTTATTTTAAGGTTTTAGGAATAAATTATAATTGGAAAAGGTTATTTTAAATAAAGACACAACTTACCCACGAAGAAATCAGAAATGGCCAAGTTAAGAAAAAAAAAATTACTTCGATGTCTAAGGTTTTTGTCCACTACAAAAGCTAAAATAACCACAGCATTTCCTAGCATTGTGGCAAAAGCTAGTAAAGACATTAAAAATGCTAAAGTAATTTGATAATTTGATATCGAGCTACTTGTACTATTAGCATTTGACATCACATCAAATGATGAAGAAGCTCAATATAGCAAAATTCAGACAGACAGACAAACAGTTCTGACAAGTGTAACTTCCAACCAGATACCTAAAATATATASACTCCTACTCAAAACAACATTTTTTAATCTTATGCTGATCTCATAGTACTTCCTGATTCTTGRTAAAGTATAAACTTGTGGTAACAGTTTCCCCTTAACTGACATTGAAAAAGTATTTCCAAAAAAACAGTGAAATGTTTTTTTCTTAATCAATTTAATATGATTCATCCAACCCCAGTAGAGCAATATTATATAATATCTACAAAATACAACTTATACATTGCATGGATAATAAGTTGGGCTCAAGTGAGATTCAGTTTTTAAAAYTAGTATATCCAGTTAAATACTCTCTTCAGGTCAGGATGGAGTGATTCACTTAATTGCCCCATCTGAAACAACCCAAATGTTGGACAAGGGTTTTYAAGGCACTGGACAGGAGGCAATGAAGGGCAGTAATCCCTGAGAGAAGGGGGAACAAGGGGAGCCCTGAAGTTGCCCTTGGATAGTGTCTTGAGAGTTTCCATGGCCCAGGAAAGGAGACCAAAGCCAGGCAGAACCTAGCTGACTCCCTRGGATGCAGAGATGGAGCTGAGAATTGGGAGTACTAGAGAGGTCTCTGGAAGAGAGAACCCTAGAGGTCTGCAGAGGGCCCTCCTCATGTATTCAACTTAATCAGCACAGGGCAGAGAAACATTATCAGACAGGGAAAAGAACCATTTGAGAGATTAGAGGAAACAGAACCCAGTGCCCACACAAGGTTAGTTACAGTGCCTGTTTCTCCTCAGCAARACAGAAAACGTGGATAATTAATAGAGCATTGATGGTCAAGCCAGAAAGCTCTTGCTTAGTAGTGAGGGATAATTACTCCTGTACTAAATACTTCTTGGGTCTTGCTAATAAGTCTTAAAAGCAAAACTTAAAAGAATMAAAATCAAAACTATCTCTAAGTAATTTGACTGCAGACTTGGACATAGCTCAAGATTATTTACAGAATATAAAAATATTCAAAACCCAGTGATGTAAAACTTATAATCCAAGCAAATATAACTTACAGTGAGGGGGGAAAAATCAATCCATTGAAACCAACCTAATATTAACAAATAAGAGCATYAAAAGAGTTGTTATACCTGTATTTCAACTTCAATCTAATGTATGAAATATGATATGTCAAGAGCTTTGTAATGTTGTGAACAACCAATAAAATAAAAAAAAAAACAGTTATCAACCTGCCCCCCCTCAAAAAAAAATTTACAAAAAATGTAAATATAGAGAAATTATTCTTTAAATATCCAAATACAACTCTGGAAATAAAAACTAGAATGTTCTAACTAAAAATACACCAGAAATAATGAATGGCAGATCAGTCATTGCAGAAGATTGGCGAATTTGAACACAATGTAATATAAGATACCCAAATGAAATACAAGATAAAAGAGAATTTAAAACAACAATTAACAGAGCACCACCAAGCTGTAGGACAAATTCAAGTGACTTGATATATGTCTAAGAAGAATCCCTGAAAGAAAGGACAGAGCAGGGAACAGAAAAAAAAWWTTTTTTTGAAAATTTAATCACCAATAACTTTTACAGTTTAATGAAAACTATAAACCAAGAAGCTCATTGTATCACAAACACAAGAAACATAAAGAAGGGCTGGGGTTGTAGCTCAGAG